TTTTTACTCTTTAAAAAAATTTCATATTAGACAAATTAGTGAATTGAGTTTTGTTCTTTATAATTATGAATTTAAAATTCCAATATTTAGGACATTGAATTTGATCATTAAACCTTTATTTATTTGAAATATGTAAAACTCCTAATATTTAAAAACTCAATTTCAAGATTATATTTTATATAAATCCCTTACTTAATAATCTTGACTTTAAAATCTTTCTAAAATACTTACCAAGTTGCGCCATCTATAGCAACCAATCAATTTTCTCTTCGTCTCCTATTTCACTGTGATTATGAAAAATTTAAACCTCAAGGTCTTTAAATGTTTGTCCCTCCCGAAACCAAGAAAGGGAATAAGGAGTATGAAAAAGAGATAACTAACGTAATGCCAAAGTTAAATAATGTTGATTTTGTTAAGAATTTAAAAGAGAGATAAAGAGAAGTGGTCGACAAAAGCAAATAACTTCTACAAACACAAAGATCTAAAGAAAAATGTCAGATAAATTTTTTATCTTTTGAAAATAGAATTCTTATTGAATAACTATAATTACATTTAAATATCTAAAATTTGGATGACCGAATACTAAGAATTTGACAAAAAATAAATTAAATTGTTAAGAGCAAATAGTTAAGTTTTTTTTAGATTAACTAAAAGCAAAAGAATTTAGTTCGATTCTTTTCCAAATTATTCATATAAAAAAAGTATTTTTCAAGTTGATAAAATTTTTATAGTGCATAAGTTTTGTTTCCATGAGAAAAACATTGGCGAAGAAAGAAAATAAAAATAGAACAAAATCGATTACATCACTATGGTTAGGTACAAACTTGAAGCGATAAGGATGAAACATCAAAAGGTAAATTATATTTTAAATGAGTTATCTTTTTATTTTATTTTTTCAGCGTTTGTTCTAAAGTATGACAACTCCTATATTGTTTTATATATTATGTTTGTAAAATATTAACTCAACATTAGTAAAGGCAACACGAGAAACAATAGCAAGTCATCCCAAAACTAAAACAAGAATTTAGTTTCTTTTAGGTTAAGACTCTTTATATAGATTGGAAAACAAGATTGAAACTAATGTTTAATGGATATGGTCAAATTGATTTGTTAAAAATTAATAATGACAACTTTGAACACTCTTAGCTAAGATTCTTTTTATTCTATCCTATTGGCTATAGGAGGTTTGTTTCTGGGGCTTCCTTGTAAAATTTTCTACTTTTTTTTTATTATGTAAATTATGCATGGATCCTCCCGCTTGAAAATAAGCCTTCATTTCTGAATAAACATATACGTATGAACTCTTGCATAATTAAATTTCTACAAATAATCGACAATATTGTCTCTTTTGACTTTTTTCAAATTGCAAAAGGTCCTTCTCTCCCTAAAGTTGAAGATCTCATATATGTTGGTGTGTGAATGAAACCTCTTCAATAAGTTAATACCATAACGCTTCAATTTTCTATTTTATTAGTGAAGTTAATTTGAATTATTTTCATATTCATAAAAATACACAGTATTAAAATTATGCAGAATCCTAACTGTCATATATGTCGAAAACCCCAAAATTTTAACAACTTACCTGCAAGAAATAATTCGTTGAAAAAATAGTGGCCGTAAAAAATTTCGATAGCCAATCACCGCTCATTTGACGGTCATTTAAGATGAAAAAGGACTTTTTAATGCACACTTTTGCACTCAGTAAAATTTTTAATAGAAAAAGACTGATTTTCTAATGACAATGAACTTAAGAAACATTCTTGAGCGTTGGAGGGTTATGTGTTCTTGCTGAAATTTTAAATAAAAAATATAATAATTTGTGAAACTGAAGTAATAAAATTATAATATTGGAATACATCTTAACTTGGATATATTGGCTGAGATAATTGAAGACTTTTATGAGGTAAAGTTTTTTTTAATTTTTTTTATTATTGGATAAGTAAATACGATCGACAATCATCATTCTCAAACTTATACTTTTTTGTATTATAACATAAACACAATTTTTAAATATAATATTTGCATAACTTTTAAAAAAAATTATATTCATAGAGATAAGGTACACGCGCAAAGCGCGTACCATAAGACTAGTATCTATAAAAGAGCATATTTCTTTTTGAATACAGTAATGTTCACTGCTCTTCTTTTTAGAATATTTTACTGTTGGAAGAAATTCACTACAAGAAAGTATGGAATTTGCAACAATTTTTTAGCAACAACTATAATATTGTTGGCAAAAATCGACAAATAGCAACAACGTGATAAAGTTGTTGCTATATCACAGAATTTTTAAACACAAAATTTTTCTTGAGCAAACATATTAATATCGTTGCGATATTCTATCGTTTAGATTATAAATTTTAAATTTAAAAAGTTAGCAACAACTTTTTTGCAACAATCACAGTGTTGTTGGCTTATTTTAATAAATGACAACAACTTAATAAAATTGTTGTTATATCATAGAAATTTTAGCCATAATTTTTTCCTTGTAACCAATGTTTTATATTCTTATTGCCATATTTTATGAACAATATAATAAATTTAAAATATAAATAGAATTGGCAACAATAAATTTACATCGTTGGCAATACAATTTATTTTTGTCAACAATATGGGTGGGTTGTGGCCTAAATTAAACTTAGCTAATTTTGTTCTTCAGTTTTCCGCAAAATCGAAGGCGGCGAAATTTTATCTTGTTAATTACTTTTCCGGATTTTTAGCCCAGTCTTTTAGTTACCATTCTAGAAAGGTCTTGTGTCGTTGCCGTACTTTATAAGAAAATATAGTAGTGTTAAAATATAATAAATTAGCAATAATTTATTTTTTGTTGGTATATAGAACCCTTAATTTTCTCAAAGTTTTGTTCACGCCTGAAGTTTCTCAACAGGTTTAGTTTGTGGCCTAAAATTTAGCCAAGTATTTTCAACTTTCCGCCAAAAGAAACGCGGCAAACCTATTTTTTACGCAAAGCAGTTTTTTTATTTTCAATTAACTTTTCCTTGATCCTTAGCCTATTTCAGTTACCGTTCTAGCTAGGTTTTTTCCTTTATTGTTCGATAACTTTGAGCAACTGGTTCTGATATTCTTTGCTTCATTCTCGTCTACAAAGTCTGGTGAGTGTTGTTAATTACTATTCATCTCTAATGTGTTTCTTCGCTTGTATCACTGTCCATTCAAGTTATATATTGTTATTTTAACTATATTTTGATATAGTCTTTCTCTGACCTTTCTCCTTATTTATTTTTTTTGGTAAATTGACAGCAAATAATTGAAGGACATCTGCTATTTTATATTTTGTAGGTAATTATATAATGGATAAAAGTTGGATTTTTCTTAGGAATAGAGCATTACCAGAATACTTGAATGGCGTGGAATAATTTTTGAACTTTGCATTTTCAAATCCTAATGTTGGTATAAGAATTCAATGTCCGTGCACTAACTGTAACCATGTGCATAGGAAAATACGAGAAGAAGTGAAAATAGGTTTACTTAGGTGGGGTATAGATCCAACATATAATAGGTGGATTCGTCATGGTGAGTCGGATTCATCTTCAGATGATGAAATAAATTCTAGTGCAGATTCAGATTTAGGAAACGATGATGCTGCCACTTTCGAGATGTTGCATGACATGTATCACGGTGTTCCTATAGATAATATAACTCATGATCAGTCGATGAGTCGGCCGAGTCTAGATATGAAGAACCTAATGCAGAAGCTAAGAGCTTTTATCGGTTGTTAAAGGATGCAGAGCAGAGTTATATCCAGATTGTGAAAAGTTCTCGAAGCTCTCTTTTGTAATGCGTCTTTTTCAAATGAAGTGCTTGCATGGTTGGAGTAATAATTCATTAGACTTTTACTTAAAACTATTAAGTGATGCCTTTTCCAAAGGACATGTGCTCCCTAATTCTATTTATGATGTTCAAAAGATTATTAAAGATTTGGGTCTGAATTATGTTAAAATAGATGCTTGTGTTAATAATTGCATCTTATATAGAAAGGAATATGCGTATCTTGAACAATGTCCTAAATGTGGTGAGAAAAGATGGATAGTACAGAAAGGAGGAGAAGATGACAATGAGGTTGCTTCAAGTAAATTGAGTAAGAGAAAGAAAGGAATTCCTAGAAAAATTCTTAGATACTTTCCTTTGATCCCAAGATTACAACGGTTGTTTATGACTAAACGAACCGCGGAAGATATGAGATGGCGTAAAAATAAGCGAGTTGATGATGGAGTATTAAGGCATCCAGCTGACTCACTGACATGGAAAACTTTTGATGAGAAACATTTGGATTTTGCATCAGATCCACGTAAAGTAAGACTTGGACTTGCTTCAGATGGTTTTAATCCTTTTGGTTCCATGAGTAATGCCTACAGTATGTGGCCAGTATTTTGGATTCCGTATAATCTTCCCCCATGGCTATGCATGAAACAATCTAATATTTTGTTATCCTTGCTTATTCCTGGCCCAAAAAGCCCTGGTATGGATATAGATGTGTATCTCCAACCTTTGGTTGATGATTTGAAAAATTTATGAGAGGATGGAATTGAGACGTGTGATGCTTTTAAGCAACAAAATTTTCAATTGCGTGCTTCTTTGTTGTGGACAATTAATGACTTTTCAGCATATGCCATGTTGTCCGGTTGGAGCACAAAAGGTAAATTTGCTTGTCCAGTTTGTCATGTAAATACTTGCTCCATTTACTTGAAATATGGTCGAAAGCATTGCTATATGGGTCATCGTAGGTTTTTGGAAATAAATCATCCTTATCGTTGGACCAAAAGTTCTTTTGATAACACAAGGGAAGAAAGACCTGCACCACAAGCATTGAGTGGAGATGATGTGCTAGCACAACTAAATACATCCTTACAAGGATCCATGGGTGACAACACAAGAAAAAGAAAACGAGATGCCGAAAGACGTGACAACTGGAAGAAGAGAAGTATATTCTTTGAACTCCCATATTGGAGAACTGCATTGTTGAGACATAATTTGGATGTAATGCATATAAAAAAAATATTAGTGAAAGCATGATAGGAACGTTGTTGGATATTGACGGAAAAATAAAGGACACATTGAAATCTCGATTGGACATACAAGAGATGAGAATCAAAAAGCCTCTTCATCCAATAAAATGTGGGGATAAGTACATACTTCCTCCTGCTAGTTATACAATGTCCAAAACTGAGAAGATTAAATTCTGTCAACTCATCAAAGATGTCAAGTTTCCTGATGCTTATGCTTCTAACCTAAGTCGTTGTGTCAACGTTAAGGAAGCTAGACTTTTTGGACTTAAAATTCACGATCACCATGTTCTTTTCCAACGTATCTTTCCACTTATCATCAATGGGATTTTGCCAAAGAATGCATATGATCCGTTAATTGAATTGTCATTATTCTTTAGTGATTTGTGCGCTAAGGAGTTGCATATGGATATGTTAGATAAAATAGATAACAGTATACGGGTGACAATTTGCAAACTAGAACGTATGCTCCTACCATCATTCTTTGATGTTATGGTTCATTTGGCAATCCATTTAGCAAAGGAGGGTGGTCCTGTTCAATTTCGATGGATGTATTTCATCGAGAGGTCAAATTTTTACTACTCTAAATTTTTATTTTAGTTGAAATTTGCTCAAAACTAATATATCTTTACTTAACAGAATGTTGCGCACATTAAAAGGTTATGTACGCGACATGGATCGCCCAGAAGGGTCAATTGCTGAGGGCTATCTTGCAGAGGAATGCATGGCATTCTATTCCAAATATTTGACTGATATGGAGACAAAGGAAAATCGTCCGGATAGAAATTCTAATTCTTCCAACATGGATCCTAATGGCTTATCTGTATTCAGTTGTCGTGGTAAGCCATTTGGAGGGGGTGATTGGACAAAATTGAATGATCTTGAAATCAAGCAAGAACATTTTTACATCCTTCAAAATTGTGCAGAAATTGGCCCTTTTATCGAGTAAAATACTTTTCACTTAGTTTACATTCTTTTCTTGTTATGAATTCTTTCAATGACTATCTTGTAATGTTTTCATTTTATTTTAATTTTCACCATCTACGGGGAACTGTCACGACTAGGATTTTTCACCCTCGGGAGTCGTGATGGCGCCTACTAATGAAAGCTAGGCAAGCCGACTGTTTGAACCAATTACCTTTTTTCCATTTTAATCCTTTAACAATTATGAAACAACAACTTATAGACAATGGAATTTATAACAAGCGGAAGAGAAACAGTAAATCTATGTGAATATATCCAATACAACTGTTTGAACAACTACTACCCAGAACTGGTGTCACAGCTACACAGACAGTCAAAGATTACTACAAAAAAAAGGTCTGAATGAAATAACAAAATATTGTCTCTGGGATTACATAAAAGAAACAGGAATAATAGATAGAGGGAGACGCCACGCCTGCAGGGCTACCTCGGAATCTCCGACTGGACTGAAGGCAGCCACCCAAGCTAAGGTCTGAATGCTGCTGCTCCGGGATCACCACACGCTGCAGAGTGTAGTATCAGCACAACCGACCTCATGTACTGGTAAGTGCCTAGCCTAATCTCGGCGAAGTAGTGACGAGGCTAGGACCAGACTACCAAATAAACCTGTGCAGTTATATAATGTACAACGGAATATAAAACAGAAATAAACAAGTAAGGATAGAGGGGGACATGCTGCGGGAGAAATATCATCTACCAACAGAAATTTAAGAGGTAAAACATAAAGAACAATTTAACGTTCACTGTAAAAGAATAAGGAACTCGTAACCAATCAATAAGCACTTTTACTATCTATTGTTGCGGCGCGCAACCCGATCCGAATCATAAAAACACTGTTGCGGCATGCAACCCGATCCATATCATTTATCACTCTTGCGGCGTGCAACCCGATCCAAATCATAAAAACAATATTGCGGCGTGCAACCCGATCCATATCATTTATCACTGTTGCGGCGTGCAACCCGATCCAATCATATTATTGTTGTGGCGTTCAACCCGATCCAAACATAATATTGTTGCGGCGTGCAACCCGTTCCACATATACAGTTCAACACCAAATCACAAAGGGAGTCCCGGCAAGGGCTCAATAAATAAACAACACTATCCCGGCAAGGGAATCGACAGTATAAGTAAATACGTCCCGGCAAGGGAAAATCAGCTATAACCAAACTTGTTCCAATATCTAACTTCCTCAACTAGCACCAATACGCAATCATGAGTAATTTCCACGAGAATAATCATAATCCTTGCTCAACACAGAGAATCAACCACTTAGGCATTCATAGTATTTATTAAGAACACAACAATTTCACATTACAACTCACGGTCATGCTTGACACCAACGTCTCGTCACCATTCCTATACGTCGTACTCAACAAGTAACACGTAACAAATAGGACACAACTCCTAATCCCTCAAGCTAAGGTTAGACCAAATACTTACCTTGAACTTCCACGGCCAACTCAAGCCTCAAACACCGCTTTTCCTTTATAATTCGCCTCCAAACAACTCGTATCTAATCCAAATTGATTTAACAACATCAATAAATGCAAAAGAATTCATACCCAATGCTTAATTATAGATTTCCTATCATTCTTCCCAAAAAGTCAAAAATCGACCCCGGGCCCGCTTGGTCGAAACTCGAGGTTCGGACCAAAGCCCGATCACACATTCACCCACGAGACCAAATATGCAATAAGTTTCAAAATTCGACCCCAAAACGAGGTCTAAATCCCAATTAATCAAAAGCCCTAACTCTACCCAAATCCCAAATTTTCTACCATTAAAACCCTAGGATTTTAGATAAAAGTTGACGAAAACATTAGAGAGTTGAAAGAATTTAGTTAAGGCCTCGGAACGCAGAATTCATTTCTAAAATAAGTGATGACCTTTTGGGTCATCACATTCTCCACCTCTAAAACAATCGTTCGTCCTCGAACGGACATAAGAAGAAGTACCTGAGTCGGGGAAAATATGGGGATAACAGCTCCACATGTCGGACTCGGACTCCCAGGTCGATGCCTCAGCAGGATGACCTCTCCACTAAACACAAACAGAAGGAAAACTCTTCGATCTCAACTGACGAACCTGCCGGTCTAGAATAG